AGGAAAAAATGAGGAAAAAAGAGGGAAAAATGAGGGAACAAAATGAGGAGAAAAGGGAAAAAAAAGAGGGAAAAAAGAGGAAAAAAGGGAAAGAAAAAAGAAGAAGAAAAGGAAAAAATGAGGAAAAAATGAGGAAAAAAAGGAAAAAATGAGAGGAAAAAAGGAAAGAATAAGAGGAAAAAAAAGGGAAAAAAAAAGAGGAAAAAAGGGAAAAAATCACTTATTTTGCAGAGGATCTCTGTTGGGTGGGTATTGATGAGGTTGAATCCTCCCCACAGTAACTCACTGAGTGTTTTACCCCTAGATTAAACCCCTAAAAACACTTTGCTGCCTCCTGGGGAGTTTTCTGCTCTTTCCTCAGCCTATTTTGGGTTTTTTTCCTGCAGAGGACAGCGAGGATGAGAAGGAAGATCACAAAAACGTCCGTCAGCAGCGGCAGGCGGCCTCCAAAGCAGCCTCCAAACAGAGGGAGATGCTGCTGGAGGATGTGGGCAGCGAGGAGGAGGAGCAGGAGGATGATGAGGCACAGTTCCAGGAGAGTGAGTAAATGGGATTGCAGAAGGGGACACAGTTTGATTTTGCTGGGACCCTGAGGGTGGAAATTGTGCTCCTCATTTTTATTGTGAATCTGTCCAAGTTGGGATTCACAGCTGGAATTTATTCGCAGCAAAGGTTTGTGTGTGTGTCCCACAAACTTTATCTTCACAAACGGGTAAATCTGTTCATCCCATCTCTGCTTTTTAATCCAGAATGAGATTTAAGTCACCAAATACTTGAATTATAGAAATTTGAAAGTTGGGACCCCTCATGAATTTGCACCATTTGTTGTCCCCCAAGCTTGGTTGGTGGGAGATAACCCAGTGCTTCGAAAGTGCTGTGGAATTTTTGCAGTCTCACAAAATTTGTGTCCCACAGAATTTATCTTCACAAATGGGTAAATCTGTTCATCCCATCTCTGCTTTTTAATCCAGAATGAGATTTAAGTCACCAAATACTTGAATTATAGAAATTTGAAAGTTGGGACCCCTCATGAATTTGCACCATTTATTGTTCCTCCAAACTTGGTTGGTGGGCGATAACCCAGTGCTTCAAAAGTGCTTTGCAATTTTTGCAATCAAAAGTTTTCAAAGTTCAATGCCAGATTTTAGGATATAAAGTCAAAATTGAAATAATTGAAGAGTTCACTCAGTGAATGTGGAATTATCTGTGAGACAAAGCAGCCTCCAGACAGAGGGAGATGCTGCTGGAGGATGTGGGCAGCGAGGAGGAGGAGCAGGAGGATGATGAGGCACAGTTCCAGGAGAGTGAGGAAATGGGATTGCAAAAGGGGACACAGTTGGGTTTGGGCTGGGACCCTGAGGGTGGAAATTGTGCTCCTCATTTTTATTGTGAATCTGTCCAAGTTGGGATTCACAGCTGGAATTTATTCGCAGCAAAGGTTTGTGTGTGTGTGTCCCACAGACTTTATCTTCACAAATGGGTAAATCTGTTCATCCCCTCCCTGCTTTTTAATCCAGAATGAGATTTAAGTCACCAAATACTTGAATTATAGAAATTTGAAAGTTGGGACCCCTCATGAATTTGCACCATTTATTGTTCCTGCAAGCTTGCTTGGTGGGAGATAACCCAGTCCTTCAAAAGTGCTTTGGAATTCTTGCAGTCAAAAGTTTTTAAGGTTCAATGCCAGATTTTAGGGTATAAACTGAGGATTTAAGTAACTGAAGAGTTCACTCAGTGAATGTGGAAGAATCTGTGAGAAATTGTGCTCCTCATTTTTATTGTGAATGGAGTTTGTGCTCCAGGTTTGCAGCAAAGGTTTGTGTGTGTGTGTCCCACAAAATTTATCTTCACAAATGGGTAAATCTGTTCATCCCCTCCCTGCTTTTTAATCCAGAATGAGATTTAAGTCATCAAATACTTAAAGTATATTAATGTGGCTGTGGCAACTTGAAAGTTGGAATCTGTCATGAATTTGCACCATTTGTTGTCCCCCAAGCTTGGTTGGTGATGTTCAGTGAGAGATAACCCAGTGCTTCAAAAGTTTGGAATTATTGCAGTCAAAAGTTTTTAAGGTTCAATGCCAGATTTTAGGGGTATAAACTGAAAATTGAAATAACTGAAGTGTTCACTCAGTGAATCTGGAATTATCTGTGAGACAAGAAACTTCATCCTGCTGCCTTTTCCTTGCAGATTATTTTCTTTATTCCAGGGATGTGTGTTTGTGTTTTCCAGACATCTATTTCTTTATCTTCTTAAATTTTTAATTTTTTTTTATTTTCTAGATCTATTAAGCAGCCCTAAATTTTAACTGTAAACTTCTCAATGATTTTTTCTGCTTTTTTCTGTCTGTGTGGCATTGCTGATGTAAAAACCCCTCGGATTTTAGCCCAGCAGATAAAAGGAAACCCACAAAGTCTCAGAGTTTATCCACAATTTCCCTGGCAATCTCAGCTGTATTTTTCTTTCATTTTTGGTTTTTTTCCCCCAAAAAAACCTGAAATTTCCTTCTGCTTCCAGCAGATTCAGGAAGTGATGAAGACTTCCTCATGGAAGACGATGATGACAGTGACTATGGCAGCTCAAAAAAGAAAAACAAGAAAGTCTCCAAGAAATCCAAGCCCGAGAGGAAAGAAAGAAAATGCCCAAGCCCAGGCTAAAGGCCACAGGTGAGTCTGTGCAAATTCAAAAATTCAATCCCTCAGTTTAAAATCCTCATTTTCTTTTTGCTCCAGAGGTTTGGTTGAAATCTTGGCGTCCGCGAAAATGTTGGAAAGGCCAAATGATTGAAAGAAGCAGGGTGGGATAATGAATTAATTTAATTCTGCGTTTAGGGATTGATTTGGTATCTCTGTTTTGACCTCTAAATCAATCTCTAAATAAAGAATTAAAAATATGAGTAAAAATTCATGAAAACTTTCCCTGCTGAGGGGCTGCATTCTGACTTTTTCTGTCTTCACAGCCAAATAACAACAATTTGTGGCTTTGTGAAATGGGAACCAGAGGAAAACTTGGGTGCATTTCTGCAGGAAATTCAGATTATAACAGCAATGTTGGACAAGAGCTGTGTCCATTTCTGATATCACATCCAATTAAACACCTTTAAAATCTCATTAAATTGCTCCTCAGCTTAATTAGGAGTGCTAAAACCACTGTGGGTATGGCCAAATTTCTGAATTATTTAAAAATCTCTTTTTTTTTACAAAGTTTTTCTTTTTCCAGTGACCCCCAGCCCATTTCTGGTATCACATCCAATTAAACACCTTTAAAATCTCATTAAATTGCTCCTCAGCTTAATTAGGATTTCTAAAACCACTGTGGATATGGCCAAACTTCTGAATTCTTTAAAAATCTCATTTTTTTGTGGGAGTTTTTTTTTTGCCTTTTCTGCTTGTGAATTTTACAAAGTTTTTCGGGTTTTTTTTGCCTTTTCTGCTTGTGAATTTTACAAAGTTTTCCGGTTTTTTTTGCCTTTTCTGCTTGTGAATTTTACAAAGTTTTCCGGTTTTTTTTGCTTTTTCTGCTTGTGAATTTTACAAAGTTTTTCCTTTTATTTGCCTTTTCTGCTTGTGAATTTTACAAAGTTTTCCGTTTTTTTTTGCCTTTTCTGCTTGTGAATTTTACAGAGTTTTCCGGTTTTTTTTGCCTTTTCTGCTTGTGAATTTTACAAAGTTTTCCGGTTTTTTTTGCCTTTTCTGCTTGTGAATTTTACGAAGTTTTTCGGGTTTTTTTTGCCTTTTCTGCTTGTGAATTTTACCAAATTTTTCTTTTTGCAGTGACCCCCAGCCCAGTGAAAGGCAAAGGGAAGGCAGGTCGCCCCACAGCTTCCAAGGCCACGAAAGAAAAAACCCCATCCCCAAAAGAAGAGGATGAAGAACCTGAAAGTCCCCCAGAAAAGAAAAAATCAGCCAGCCCTCCACCAGAAAAATCAGGGGATGAGGGCTCTGAAGATGAAGCGCCCTCTGGTGAAGATTAAAAATTCAAAGGCAATTGAGAGGAAAAAAACAAAAATAATCTTTGTTTAAAAAAAAAAAAGAGGAAAAAAAAAAAAAAAGAAAAAGGAAAAGAAAAAGAAAACAACACTTAGGGGTAGAACACGGTTTGGGCTGTGGTTGACTCCTCATGGGCTTTGGATGCTGTCTTTGTTTCCAGCTGGTTAATCCAGAAATTCTTTTTTAATAAGAGAAAAACCCTTCTCTGCAGTGAGATTTTCAAGGCAAAATGTTCCCTGTTGGCCATTCTGTTCTCCCTCCCCTGCCAAATCTGAAAAGCCATTTGAGACAAATTCGAGCAAACCATTCAGTGTTGGATTTTTATTCAATATTTCATTTTTTTCCCAATATTTCATTTTTTTTCTATATATGATTTCTATTCAATATTGGATTTTTATTCAATATTTCATTTCTATTCAATATTCCATTTCTATTCAATATTCCATTTCTATTCAATATTCGATTTCTATTCAATATTGGATTTCTATTCAAATACTTAAATATTTGAATATTTAAGTATTTGAATAGAATACTTAAATTCTATTCAATTCTTTAAATTCTAGTCAAATATTCAAAATACAAAATTCCAATGTTGAATCCAATATTCAATATTGGATTTCTATTCAATATTTGATTTCTATTCAATATTTGATTTCTATTCAATATTGGTTTTCTATTCAATATTGGATTTCTATTCAATATTGGATTTTTTCCAATATTGGATTTCTATTCAATATTGGATTTCTATTCAATATTGGATTTTTATTCCATATTTGATTTCTTTCCAATATATGATTTTTTTTTCAATATATGATTTTTTTCAAATATTTTATTTTATTTTTTCCCAAGGGATACTGCAGTTGTGAAGCAATAAGGTTTGAGACTGATCTGTGGAAAAAAACCACACTTGCAAATCCTTAAGTAGAATTAGATTTTTTCCCCAGTGCTGGTAAGAGCTGTTTAAAATTATTCTTCTGTATTTGGAATATATATATAGAAAAAAAAATAATCAAGTTTTGTTTGAACAGATTTAAGATGAGTTTAGTCTCAGCAAAAATAATTCCAGAGGAGGAGGAGGATGGAGCACAGGGAGGAATCCTGTGGTTTTTGGATTTAGGCACGTTTTTCATGGAAAACAATCAAGAAATTCTGAGATGCTCCAATGTCTTTGATTTTATAAAAAATCCTTCAGATGTTTTGTCTCTGCTGGATAGAAAACTCTTAATTGCAGCCCATTCCAGAGAAATTCAGATTTTCAGCTTTCCCATGTCCGCTCATCCTTCTTTTTATTCCTTCTGTGGAGGGGCAGAACGGGGAGGAGAAATTGGAAAATCATTTTGAAACCTGCTTTCATTGGGTATGGTGGGAAATGGTTTTATTATGGATTTTTGCAAGGAAAAAACCACCAAAATAACAGATAACGTGAAATGAGATTGTTCAGCTGTTGGGGTGAGCAGAGGATGGCTCTGGGCGTTCCTTCCCTTCCCTTCCCTCCCTCACAGAGCCCCAGGGATCATCGCTGGCATGGGGGGCACAGCGGGCACTCCCTGTGCCCACCCTGCTGCTGTGGGCTCTGTGGGGTCAGCTGCCCTCATACCTGTGGGGTCAGCTCCTCTTTTTCCTGTAGGATCTGTGGGATCTGCTCCCCTCATACCTGTAGTGTCTGTGGGATCAGCTCCCCACCCTTCCTGTGGGCTCTGTGGGGTCAGCTGCCCTCATATCTGTGGGGTCAGCTCCCCTTTTTCCTGTAGGATCTGTGGGATCTGCTCCCCTCCTCCTGTGGTGTCTGTAGGGTCAGCTGCTCTCATATCTGTGGGCTCTGTGGGGTCAGCTCCTCTTTTTCCTGTAGGATCTGTGGGATCTGCTCCCCTTTTTCCTGTAGGATCTGTGGGATCTGCTCCCCTTCTGCCTCTAGGATCAGCTCCCCACCCCTCCTGTAGGGTCTGTGGGGTCAGCTGCCCTCATATCTGTGGGGTCTGTGGGATCTGCTCCCCTTTTTCCTGTAGGATCTGTGGGATCTGCTCCCCTTCTGCCGTAGGGTCTGAGGGGTCTGCTCGCCTTCTGCCTGTAGGATCAGCTCCCCACTCCTCCTGTGGGATCTGTAGGATCAGCTCCTCTCCCTGCCTGTGGGGTCTGTGGGGTCAGCTGCCCTCATACATGTCGGGTCTGTGGGGTCAGCTCCCCTTACACCTGTAGGTTCAGCTCTTCATCCCTCCTGTGGGATCTGTGGGATCTGCTTCCCTTCTGCCTGTAGGATCAGCTCCTCAACCCTGCCTGTGGGATCTGCCCCTCTTCTGCCTGTAGGATCAGCTCTCCACCTCTCCTGTGGGATCTGTAGGATCTGCTCCTCACCCTTGCTGTGGGGTCAGCTCCCCTTATACCTGTAGGATCAGTTCCCCACCCCTCCTGTGGGATCAGCTCCCCAACCCTCTTATGGGATCAGCTCCTCACCCTCCCTGTGGGGTCTGAGGGATCTGTTCCCCTCCTACTTGTGGGGTTTCTCCTCAGCCCTGTCTGTGGGATCTGCTCCCACCTCTCCTGTGGGATCTGTAGGATCAGCTCCTCACCCTGTCTATGGGTTCTGTAGGATCAGCTCCTCACCCCTCCTGTGGGGTCTGTGGGGTCAGCTTCTCACTTCTCCTGTGGGATCTGCTCCCCTTCTGCCTGTAGGATCAGCTGCTCACCCCTCTTGTGGGCTCTGAGGGATCTGTGGGATCAGCTCCTCACTGTGGATCCTCTGGGATCTGTGGGATCAGCTCCCTCATGTTCCTGTGGGATCTGTGGGATCAGCTCCTCACTGGATCCTCTGGGATCTGTGGGATCAGCTCCCTCATGTTCCTGTGGGATCTGTGGGATCAGCTCCTCACTGGATCCTCTGGGATCTGTGGGATCAGCTTCCCACATTCCTGTGGCATCTGTGGGATCAGCTCCCTCATGTTCCTGTGGGATCTGTGGGATCAGTTTCCCACATTCCTGTGGGATCAGCTGCCCCATGTTCCTGTGGGATCTGTGGGATCAGCTCCCCCTGCCTGTGGGATTTGCGGGGTCAGCTCCTCACCCTTCCTGTGGGACCAGTTCCCCCCATTTCTGTGGGATTTGTGGGGTCTGTGGGCTCAGCTCCCCCATTTCTGTGGGATTTGTGGGGTCTGTGGGCTCAGCTCCCCCATTTCTGTGGGATTTGTGGGGTCTGTGGGCTCAGCTCCCCCTGCCTGTGGGATTTGTGGGGTCTGTGGGCTCAGCTCCCCCTGCCTGTGGGGATCAGCTCCCCCGGTTCCTGTGGGATCTGTGGGATTGGGCTGTGGGGTCTGAGGGACATTTTTTTGCAGGGATATTTCACAGTGGGGCTGTCCCTGTGTCCCATTTTGTGCTGCCATTTTAATTTACTTCCACCCAAGCAGCCAAACCCTTTCCTTCATTCTTTTATTTTTTTATTTTCTGCACTTACGAACCTCCACAAACCTCAGTTTCCACACCCTCACACACTTTCCCGCCGCATTTGTTGGTGGAAACATTGAAAACTGGACCTGCCATTTTTATTTGGATTATTTTCTGTGCTTCTGTCTGTGCTCAATTTCCCTTCCAGCTCTGCATTCTTGTTATTTTTATTTTTATTTTTTATTTTTCTGTCCCAGAACTCCCCGTTATTAACCACAAGGCAGCTAATCCATGAATTTGGGATATCTGGTGGCAGCAGATCCTGAATCCTTTTGGGATTTTTGGACATTTCCTAAAGTTCTACACTAAAAATGATCAGGAAAGGAATAATGGAATAATCCTGCAGAACTCAGTGATTGTCCTGTGGGATTGCCTGGCTTTTATTGAGGCTGATAAATTCCTTTTTCTTCTAAAAAAATTAAATTTCTTTAACATTCTTAACTCTCATGGAACTCCCGTTGCAGTTATAATAAAGATGACGTTGTTTCATTGTAAATCTATTTTTATTTTTTGAAATATTTTTATTTTCCACAACAACATCAGGCTGCAGGGAAATCTTAAAAAGAAATTAAAATTCCTTCTCTTTTCCCACAGCTCTGCTGGATTGATGGGAGAGCAGAAATTCCTTCAACTTTTTGAGGGAATTTTTGGGTAATTCTGGGAAATTCTGGATATTTTTAAAAAATAAATCCATTTGGGGGTAGCAAATATTTGTGCAAATCTCTGATTCCCAGAGCTTTTCCCCAAAATAATTCAAAAATAAAATCAATTTCCAGCTGCTTTTCTGCATTGGATTTTTTAGGATTTTCTTAAAATTCAGTGTACGGGGAGAATTTAAGGAGATCTGCTTCTCCACCTGATATTTTCTGAAGTTTATTTTGAATTTCTCAAATTTATTTTGTGATTTTCACCTCACATTTATTTTTGCTTGCTTCATTTATATTTTCCTAACACGGTTAAGGCTGTGAAAATTCCATTTTCTGTTATTTCAGTTCAATTTTGGGATTATTTTATCCTTTGGCCTTTTCATTTCTGATGAAATTCATTTCAGAATTTTCATTTGAGGTTCCCTGATGCTTTTTTCTCTCTCCCAACCCAAACCCCATAAAAATCCCAAATTTTCAGGATTTTGTCCCTTTTCCAAACCTGTTTTGTTGATTGGTACAAACACTTTGATCTCTGGTAGAAATTTCCCATTTTTACAGCCAGGAGCGAATTATCAAGGTGAATATTTCTATTATTTTGAATATTTTTATTTTAAAAGACTTCATTTTTTTTTATTTTAAAAGACTTCATTTTTTAATTTTAAAATACTTATTTTTAATTTTAAAATACATCATTTTGCAGCAGATTTCACCTTTTTAATTGCCAATTTAATGGAATTAATTTATATTAAACATTCTGGAAGGAAAATTGGGAAAATTTCCTTTCTTTAGGAGCACCAAGAGATTTTTATGGAGCAGAAAATTTCATTTACAGGAGGAGGATCCTTTAAAAAGATTCTCTGTAATTCTGGAGCTTTTGCAGAGAGGTAAAATGGATTTA